AAATCAAATCCCTGAAAACACAACAGAGAGCAGGAGGAATTACCTAGTGCAGTGAGACCTTCTGAAATGGAAGAGAGAATATACATGATTACATGAGGCTCCAGACTGGCTATAAAGTTCATGTGGTCCTGGGTAAGAACTTCCAGCAAGGAATAGTAGGACTGGCTGAGCTTGGGATAATCCTGCAGGGAAAGGAGGAGAGGAAGAGTTTTAAGTCTTCATGGTTACCCTGGAACCATCAGTTGACGCTTTCTAGACCCAACCCTTTATTAATCCCTGGAAAGAACAAACCAACTCCTCTTCCAGCACATCTGTGGGCAAATAGATTTTCCCCTCTTCCTTCTCCCTCAACAAAACCATTCCACATCCAGCAGGTTCCCAACTCTGGTCTATTAAATCCTCTTTCCCACTGGTTGCAGTTTTCCCACAGGAAACTTGGACCTCTCCAGGTGTCAAGTCACCCAAAAATTCAACATCTGGGATATTGGGAAGGAATTCTCTGTGCGGGTAGGGAGGGGCTGGGATGGAATTCCCAGAGAAGCTGTGGCTGCCCCTGGATCCCTGGAAGCGCCCAAGGCCAGGTTGGAGCACCCTGGGCTAGTGGAAGGTGTCCCTGCCCATGGGATGATTTCTAAGGTCCCTTCCAACCCAAACTTGGGGCATTATCTGGGTGCTGAGGTGACACCATTCACCCAGGACCCGCTGCTGCACATTCCAGGAGCTGCAATTCCCTTCTCTCCGCGATTCCTTTCCCACCCAACCTCCCAGCCCTGCCTGCCCTGGGTGTTCCCAGCCTGCTGCTCACCAGGAGGTCGCTGTGGGGGATGGAGAGCAGCAGTTTGATGAAGGTTTGCAGGGCGTTGTCCAGGGCATCGTCCCCGTAGAGCCGGAACACCCCGAAGTTGACGTAGCTGCCGCTCAGCGCTGCCTTCAGCATGGAGAAGCAGATGGAGATGCCCTTGAGCTTCAGGGCGTAGACCTGATCCTTGGGGACCTCCCCCAGCGTCAGGATGCGATTCCCTGCACGGCACAGAAGGGGGGTCAGCGTTTCCAGCACTGCATCCCAAAGCCTTCCCGCTCGGGGGGGCAGGAAAACCAAAGTGGAGCCGTTGAGGAGGGGCTGAAGCCACCGTGGATTTGTCCCCCAGGGAAAAGTATGGCTCTTCTGGGATTTTCACAAAGCCACAGAGTGACAGGACAAAGGGAATGGCCTTAAGTTGACAGAGGGGGAATTTAGAGGGGATATTGGGAAGGAATTCCTCCCTGTGAGGGTGGTGAGGGGTTGGGATGGAATTCCCAGAGAAGCTGTGTCTGCCCCATCCCTGGCAGCATCCAAGGCCAGGTTGGACGGGGCTTGGAGCAACCTGGGCTGGTGGAAGGTGTCCCTGCCCATGGCAGGGGGTGGAACTTGATGATTTTAAAGTCCCTTCCAGCCCAAATCATTGTGTGATTTTTCAGAACTCAGTGTATTTTGCTGTGGGGACAGGAATGTTCTCCATGGTGTCCCCCTGCACCCTTGCAGGGGCCCAGCCTGGCTCCTGTTTCCTTGTTTCCCCCTCCTTGCCTGCCCACCCCACGCTTCCAGCAGCACCATCTCCCTGTATCCAAGCATCCATCTGGCACTGCTCCCCAGCCTGGCTCTTGGAGCCTTCCCAAGCCACGGGAGAGTCCAGGGCAGCCCAAGGCTGCTGGATCCCACCCGGGGCCACTCACCGTAGGTCGTGATCATTTTACTGGTCTCTCGGAAGAGCAGGATTCCATTGGGAGAGGACACGTCAAACTGCAGCCGTTGGGATCTGAGGGAAACACAGGGAATGGTCAGAGACACGCTGGATTCATCCCAGGGCTGGAGCCAGGCTGGGAGAGCTGGGGGAGTTCACTTGGAGGAGAGAAGGATCCAGGGAAACCTGAGAGCCCCTTGCAGGGCCTAAAGGAGCTCCAGGAGAGCTGGAGAGGGACTGAGGACAAGGAATGGAGGGACAGGACACAGGGAATGGTTCTCGGGAAGGAATTCTTTCCTGGGAGGGTGGGGAGGGGTTGGGATGGAATTCCCAGAGAAGCTGTGGCTGCCCCATCCCTGGGAGCATCCAAGGCCAGGTTGGAGCACCCTGGGCTAGGGGAAGGTGTCCCTGCCCAGGGCAGGGGGTGGAACGGGATGAGCTTTAAGGTCCCTTCCAACCCAAACCACTCTGGGACTCGAAACTGCAACTCAAACACACCTGGGAGTAAAACCAGAGCCACCAGTGCAGGAGCTGCTGGTTCTGGGACTCTGGGATGCTCCCTGAGTTCCCACCCTGCTCTGGTAGGAAACAGAGGACACAGGCATAGGGGCCAGAGGAGCTCTGCTGTCGCAGAAGAAAGGGCCTTATTTCTCATATGTCAGGAATATTATGGGATTGAGGCTGGAAATCAACCAGTCACTGGGATACTGCTCCCAAACACAACCTCTTGGAAGGCCCCCAGCCCAGCCTGACTGGCCCCCATTCAGGGCAGCACCAGCGAGTCCCAGCTTGGCACTTGTGGCCCTGCAGTGACTCAGCCTGACAACTGAATCACAACCAGCTGCCCAGTTCACCTCTGGAATAAATGCCTGGATGGTTTCCAGCAGGGATTGTGCCCCGGCTGCAAAGATGCAGCCTGGCAGGATGCATTCCCAAGAGCTCCCCAAGGCCTGTGCCCCAACCCTGTGTCCCTGGAACAGCCCGGCCCCTTCCCACAGGGTTGTGCTGGGAGCCAGAGCATCATCCTGGCAACCTTCCCATGCCAGCTTAGACAGCTCCTGAATTATCCCAGCAGCGTCACAGGTCCCTCTCTCTTCTGGCAGAGAAGAGCTGAGGCTCCAGAGCAAAGTGGCTGCCAGGGAAGAACAAGGTCCATCCATCTGAGAGCCGGGTTTTTAAAAGGGAGCAAATTTCCTGCCCCCAATTCCCAGCTCTGCCCTTGGGAATGAAAATATCCAGCGGTTATTGATCGTGTCTCGGTCTGACGGAGCCGCAGGATGTGATCTGTGGGATTTTCTTCCCTGCTGGAACAATCCCAGTCCCCCCCCCCTCCCTGTCCCCTCCTGGCAGCTTTTGGAGCATAAATAGATCGAAGGAGAGAAAACACAACAGGGCAGCGACACCCACACAAACAGACCCAGAGGGAACGGGATGAGCCTTCCAAGCCCTCCCAACCCAAAGCATTCCAGGAAATCCCGGCCAGATTCCAGGTTCGTACCTGTTATGGACCAGCTCAGCCATGAGTTTGAGGACAGGGGTGGTGCAGGCTGGGTCGTGGTACCAGAGCTCGATGGCTCTCTGCAGGATTGGCATGTAGGAGGGGTAACTGCCAGGGAAAAGCTAAGGAATTCTGGGCTTTCCAGAGGGCAAAATTTCCATCAAAAGGCACATTTTGTGTGCTGCACCCAAGCCTTGCAGAGCAGATTAATTAATGGAGTTAAACAGAGATGCTGCTTGCTGGGTCTGCTTTATTATTATTATTATCATTATTATTATTATTATTATTATTATTATTTTATCATCATCATCATATGATATTATTATATTATTAAAAATATAATTTATATAGTTATGTGTTATTTCTGCTGTTGATAAAATCACATATTGTTTATATTTATATAAAAACATATATATTATTATTATTATCATCTGATATTATTATATTAAAAATATAATTTATGTACTTATGTGTTATTTCTGCTGTTGATAAAATTACATATTTATTGTTTATATTTATATATAAATATATATTTATTATTATTATCATCATCATCTGATATTATACTTTTAAAAATATAATTTATGTACTTATGTGTTATTTCTACTGTTGATAAAATTACATATCTATTGTTTATATTTATATAAAAACATATTAATTATTATTATTATCATTTGATACTATTATATTATTAAAAATATAATTGATGTAGTTATGTGTTATTTCTACTGTTGATAAAATTACATATTTATTGTTTATATTTATATACAAACATACATATATTATTATTATCATAGTCATATGGTATTATTATACTTTAAAAATATAATTCATGTAGTTATGTGTTATTTCTGCTGTCGATAAAATCACATATTTATTGTTTATATTTATTTAACATATTAAATCATATTAAATATTAAGTTATTTTATCACGTAAAAATAATGATCATGATAATAAAAATTAACTGCACACACAATTTTTTCTAAGGCAAAGCAGAACCAAAGAAGGTTCTGGAAGGAAGGGGAAGCCACACAGACAAAGATGAGTCAGTGCAGACACCTCGACCTTCACCAGGCAAAGCTGGAGCCCGACACTGTGTCCTTTGGGCAGCAAAAGGACACGGATTCCTCACCCAAAGGACACGGATCCCGCTGCTCCAGGGACAGGAGGAAATGCTTTTGGTGCTGCTGGGATGCAGCCTTTGTGTTTTATAGGTCACAGCCCCTCGGAAAAACCCCGGCTGTGAGCTCAGAGCAGCTTTTTAGGTTCACTTGGCTGCAGACGGGCCAAGTCCGACCTATTTGGGCTCAGAGAAAGGACACTAAATGCCATAAAAAGTGATGAGAAATCCCAGGCAGGATTTCACAGGGAAAAGGGGACATTTGGATGCAGTCAGGGGTGGCTGCAGTTTTAGGGGAACAGAAGGATACATCCACTCAAAGAGCATCATGAAGCTGGTCTTGGCGTTGAAGGCAAAGGCAATTCCCCTCAAATCTCTCACCAAACCCACCAAAGTTCTCTGTGAGGAGAAAAGAAAGGTGTTAAAATAAAATACAGGCATGGAGCAATCCCTGCCCGGCTCCACTTCCCTCCCTCCCATCCCAACAGCAATTCCTGCCTGGCTCCACTTCCCTCCCTCCCATCCCAACAGCAATTCCTGCCTCTGCTGGAGCCCAATCCCAGCCTGGACAGTCCTTCCTCTCCAGTGCCAGGAGCTGGGACACCACTGGGATATTTCATTCCCAGCACAAGGAATGCTGGCAGGTGAGTCTCCCTGCTCCAATCCCAAACCACGCCTGATCCCGAGGGATACAGGTCATCCCCCCTTCCCCCTGGAAGGGAGGCTCCCACCATTCCAGCTTTCCAGAGGGGAGAGCAGCTCCCACTCTGCACAAATGAGTGCTCTCTCCTGCCCCTCTGAAAACATCCAGGTCCCTAAGGAAAACAGCAGGGAGAACATGGATAACAGGGATAACAGGGAATAAAAGTAAGTCCTGACTTACTTTTGCCTCTTGTTCATTGAAGGTGTTTGTGCTGAACATCTGGGCCACGGTCTCAAAGGCAGCAGTGAGGGGAAGCATGAACTGCTCGTACTGATCCTCATCTTCCCCTGAGAGGGGGAAAAAACCCAGGAATTTAGGAGAAAATAAATGGCACATCGCTGTGTCCTGTGCCAGACACTCCCCAGGAGGCAGAGGGACCAGAGGTCTCCAGCCAGGGGATCTGTCACTGCCAAAATCTGACTGACAGGCAGCTTAGAACAAACTGGGCCATGTCAGGAAAACATGGGATATCAGGATGGAAAAATTCAGCCCCAGGTTTGGTGACCTGTGCCTGGCAACGTGGCATCAAACCCACCCTCGAGCTTCTTTCCCTTCCTTTTTCTTTCGTGGGGGTTTTCCAACTCCAGCCTCCTTTCCTGGAGGGGCTTACAGCTCCCTAAAAAAAGCAGGGCCCAGCTTCTAAAGCCCAGGATATTGCTCTGATTCCCAGGAAAAGCCCCCCAGTACCTAAATCCACCATGAGCAGACGCCCCAGTGCAGTGTAGAACGTCGTCCGACACCTCATGTCCGTCAGGTTGGACTGATTGTTAATGCCCAGGAAGGAAAAGTGCTCACTCTGGAGAGGGAAAACAAAGGGGGGTTAAAGAGTAAAAGGCCTCCAGTGGCACCAGGGGAGGTTTGGGTTGGGTATCACAAAAAAATTCTTCATGGGAAGGGTTGTAAATCATTGGAACAGGCTGTGGTGGAGTCTCCATCCCTGGAAGGGTTCAAACAACACGTGGATGTGGCACTTGGGGATGTGGTTGAGTGGTGACAGTGGTGGTGGTGCTGGTTGATCATTGAATTCAGTCTTAAAGGGCTTTTCCAACCTTAACAATTTGGGGAACCACCACTCCAAACAGGTTCCTGTGCCAGGGATGAGGATCCCAACTCCAGCTGATCCCAGGCTGGGCACTGATGGGAAGCAGTGGGATCCAGGGTTACCTGGAGCTGTCCCGGAGCACAGGCCACCAGAGGGCAACAGGCACCGCCTGGAACAGCAAATCCCAGCGCTGCCATCCCTCACCCTGGAATTCCCCAGCCCCAGGGGAACCAGGAAGACTGGCTTTGCCTCTGGAGCAGAGATGGAATCCCCCCCTTTACTGCTGGGGACCCTTCAGGCTGCCTTAAAGCAGCTCTCTGAGAGCAGATTGCCCAGTTACTCTGCCCACATTCTCCATGGAAACAGCAATTCCAGACTGAATTCAGCTTCTGGGCCGAGGGCAGGACGTGGGAATGCCTGAAAAACACCCTCCCTAACTCAGGGAATGCAGCCCCTCATTCCACCAGGCACTGAAAACCCTCTGGAAGGGGCGCTGGGTGTCCAACTGCTCCAGCATTGGAACATCACAGAAATATGGAATAGAACCATGGAATGGTTTGGGTTGGAGGGACCATAAGGATCACATTGTTCTACTCCCTGCCATGGGCAGGGACACCTCCCACTATCCCAGGTTGCTCCAACCTGGCCTTGGACACTTCCAGGGATGGGTCTGGCCCGAGTGGAGAGCAGAGACCTCCCACACCAAAGGCCACAAAATTCCAGCCCCTCAGAACCCAACAGAGCTGGAACACAAACCACACCTTCCAGAGGCTCACCCGGTACCAGGGGAGCACCTGAGAGCCAGGAAAACTTCCAGAACGTGTCCAGGGGTCAAAGTGTCTCCCCTGGGGATTGTCTGAGCTGCACAAAGGCAGAGGGAGGAGGGGAAGGACTCACCGTGTGATTGTTCAGCATGAACTGCACAGCGCTCAGCTTCACCAGCTTCCTCACGCTGCTGTACGTGCAGGGGGGTTAAGGAACCAGCAGAACCAGCAGAGAATCCTTACAAAATCCTTACAAAAGCACTTCCAGGGCAAAGCTGGAAGGGGATTGTGTCTGTGTTATTCAGTACGTTGTGGATTCTCCTCCATTTGTTTCAAGAGCAACCAAGGCCTCAATGGAGAGACCTGCAGTGATAGGTTTGATTTACTCTGCCATAAAAAATTTCTCTGGAGCTTGTGGAAAAGCAGAAAACAGGCTGTAAAGTGGCTGTGGGTGGTCAACTCTGAAGCAATTATGATCCAAAATTTAAAAATCTACATCCCAGCCATCCACTGCGATCCAATGAGCTGTGGGGCAAACACACCCTGCTTTTCTCACTGCCCAAAAGGTGAAGGGGTTCCAGGATCTGTGACTTCCCTCATCCCTGTGCCCCCAGCAGCTCTTCCCAAAAGGATATCCAATGGAGAGGTCGTTGAGCAGCTGCAGCGTCTTGGAGGTGATGGGCTCACACCGACCCCAGTACTTCAGGTTGGTGATGCTGCAAGAGGGAAGAGGACAGGGATGGGTCAGAGGGGGTTTGCTCGGGTTCCCCTGGGCTGGGCAGCGGATTCTTCCAGTTTAAGTGACCCCAAAATGCTCAGCTCCACCCTCCACCGAGACCACAGACAGCACAAGCCACAAAAGAGCGGTATAAAATCACTGTACTTACATTTGGTTGACTAGAAAATTATCCTTCAGATAATCTTCACTACTTGGGTCCCAAGCTACACTGGCCCATAGCCAGGCCCTTGGAATTCTGGGGCACTCCAGGGCTGGTTTCTGCAGCAAGGGTAAGAGAATTCTGCGGCAGTGACTACATGCAGACGTATGCAATTCTGCACCTGCACCATCCACTGTCAGCTGCAGAATTCTAGTAGCCCTTGCTCCTTCCAGGAGAGCCATTCCATCCCTCGGGAATGCTGCCCAGCCGGGGTTTGTGGGACGAGCAAGGCCCCGTGCGGGTAAAAACGGGGGCGATGCTGAACGAGTGCTGGGGGGGAGCTTTTGGCTGCTCGGCACCAGGCACAGGGCACTGGGTGCCAGCTGCTCAGTTGGATCCAAACGCTCCAGAGGCTGGACAAAAAGCCAGGCTGGGTCTGGAGAAGAGGCCGAATTGGGTGTTGATCGGAGTGGAAGAGTTTTTTTTAAGGGAAGGATTCGGGACCGAGCGGCAAAGAAAAGCTTCGGAGGAGCCGCCGGTGCCTCCCCACAGAGCTCTCGTGGCTGCCAAGCGTGGAGTGACCACAGGGGACGTGTGCTGGGAGCTGTCCCCTCCCTGCCTCTGCTTTTTACTGGGAAGAGAATCCGTTCTCCTGGCGTGTGGCTTTATTTTTGTGTCTCGGCGTGGGGGACAAACCAATCCTGGGCGCCGTGCGTGACCTCAGCCCTGAGAAAAGCCTGTAATTCCCTCGAGGAGAGCCAGATGTTCCTAGTTTGTTTTTTTTTTAAAGGCTGACCAACGCTCCCTCAACCATTGCAGTTTTTCCTGGTGCAGCAGAGCCTGGGCTCTGGGCTGCCTGGGGAGCAGCAGCACTTACATTTTCCCGATGAAGACGCTCAGCACCATGGTCTCGTCGTTGAGCCCCAGCACCTCGGAGAGCCGCCGGTACAGCTGGGGAGGGAACAACACCCGGTTAAAAACCACCAGGAAAACAAGGAATCCTCCAAGAGGAGTCGTTTTTCCCTGGGTGGAACGATTTTAGGAGGAGTTTGCTCCGGGATTTCCCAGATCTCGGCATCTGGTCTCGCCCTGATCACTGTCTCCTCTTTCTTGGAGGTCCAGACTGCACATAAAAGCAGGAGCACTTGGTTTTCCAAGGAAAAGGGGGCATAAAAACCATGCTCTTCCACCTCCAACTACAGGCAGTACTTAGAGTATTTATCTGGAACTCTTCTCAGCAGCCCCCAAGTCTCTGGGGTAGGGAAGGAAGGTTATGACCAGAAAGGCAGAGAACCCAGTTTGGAGCAATGATGTTCCCATCCTTCATGTGTTTTTTAAATTTAAAACAAGGATATCACACCTCTAAAGAGGCACCAAGGCACCAGTACACCTACAACTGCCTTGGCATGAAGAGAAGGGAGATTCATCTCCACTTCAGAGCCAGGGAAGCAAGAGAGAGATGAAACTTGGGATTTCCGTGGGTGTTTGAGGTGGTCAGAGGTTTTCAGGGAAAACTGAATTATGGTTTCCAGTTCTCAGCTCCCGAGAAGGAGCCAAAGCCAATGGCTCCTTCCTGACGTGGTGTTTCAAAACAGCTCCAAAATAACACTTGGAAAACAAATCTAGAAATCACAGCAAATGGGACTTGTAGGAATCTCCAGCTGAAGAGAGGAGAAAATCATTAATGCCCCTGGTTTTCCTTTAAAAAAAAGCAGGGATCAGTGGAGTTTGGATCCCCAAGGAGCCCCAGCCAAGGGCACTGATTACCTTGGAAGACTTCTGCACCTGATCTCCGATATAGATCTTCCGGAACTGCTCGAAGAAGCTCAGCATGGCCAACTCCAGCTTCTCATTCCCAGCCTGGGCCAGGCGGGAATCCGTCAGGTTCATCAGCTGCAGCACCCTGAGAAAAGGTGGGAAAACACACCTTGCTGATGGACACCGGGAGCAAGGAGGGATTTCTGGGATTGTGGTGCCGTTTCCAGGCCTTTTGCTTTCCGGGGGAATTGTTGTTTTGGGTTGGGAATTCGCAAAACTGGTGACAAAGCAATGCCCAGGGCACAGTGCTCTGTGGTGTAAAGCTGTTTTAAGGCTTCTCCATCCCTGCAGGAACACCCCCCATGAGCTGGGGGGGAGGATTCGGGGGTAAAAAACACCCCTGCAGCACAACTGGGGGGCAAACCCGAGGATATTCCTTTGTGCAAGTGCCAAAAAGCAGGAAAGAAACCCAAATATTAACAGATTTCTGCGGACATTTATCATCTGTGATGGCTCTAATGGTAACTGAAATATAGATGGGGTCTCACAATTTCCCCTTTTTAATTCATCAGCCTCATGGGAAGCCAGAGCTTGGACCTGTTGGTTTACCCACAGCTCAGCTTCCACACCTTCACACTTCAGCTCCTTCTCCTGCCCTGGTTTCCAAGGGGAGAATTGAGATCTGGACCAGAAAACATTCAGTGGGACTCAAGGTTTTATTCTCAGACCCACCAAATGAAGCTTGCACCGGGCCAGGATTTGCAATCCCAAAAATCCCAGCATGTTTTAGGGAACACCGTGAAGTTTTAACTTTAAAATTCCAACATCCACAGTTCATTTACGGTCAAAAGTCACTTTGGGTTATTAACCACGAAAAAAAAAGACTTTTCCCTCTAACCCAGCAAAGAACCATCATGCATTTAGTCAGTGATTTAACCAACAAGCCCCTTTTCCATGCTCTTCCCCTCTCAGTTTGCTCCTCACCACCCAAATCCCCCCAATTCAGCCACCGATCCCTCCTTCCCGCCGCCAAGCCGCCAATTCCAAGGGGTTTGGAGGTGAAAGAGAGGGAAGAACACAGTGGGAGGGTCAGCAGGGCGGTTTTGGGGAGGGCTCCAGGACCCAGAGGTGAGTCCCTACCGACAGACCAACTCTCCATCCATGGCATCCTGCTCGTCCGTGCTGGCGAACGACACCCGCCCGCCAATGACCGCCCCGATGATGTAGACGAGCCACGTCAGGCGCCCTGCAAGCAACAGAGGACGTGAGAACCAGCAAAGAACCACCAGATCCACCAGATCTGCCCCTCATCTGGGCACACAGCAGGCACCTTTCTGCTCTGGGGGTTGTCTCTCCCCATAGGACTCGGTTATCCACCGGCCCTGCGGTGAGGAACCTCTCCTGACAGCCCTGATGTTGATCCAGGTCTTTGATGGAATGTGCAGTGCCAAGGAAAAAAGGCTCTGCTGTTGTGTTTATGTGACAGAACTTTCCATCTAGGTTGGATATTAGGAAGAATTTCTTTGCAGAGAGGGTGATCAGCCATTGGAATGGGCTGCCCAGGGAAGTGGTGGATTCTCCGTCCCTGGAGGTTTTTAAGCTGAGACTGGATGTGGCATCAGTGCCATGGGCTGGGAACCACGGCGGGGTTGGATCAAGGGTTGGACTTGATGATCTCAGAGGTCCCTTCCAACCCAGCTGATTCTCTGATTCTATGATCTTAATGCTTCCATTGCTATTTTGTGGTGCCCCTGGATCCCTGGAAGTGTCCAAGGCCAGGTTGGAGCAACCTGGGCTAGAGGAAGGTGTCCCTGCCCGTGGCAGAGGGTGGAACTGGATGGGCTTTTAAGGTCCTTTCCAACCCCAAAGCATTCCAGGATTTACTAAAGGAGAAAAAAAGAGTGCCAGATCTCCCTGGAAGACTGTCCTTATTCAGAGCTTTTCCACTACAGAAAGTCAATCCTTATAAAATGAGGTTCTGTGCACTTTAACACGCCACAAAGTGTTTATTCCTTCAAGGGATGTGGAGAAGTCAACTTAGATGGGAGATTTCCCCACAAATAAACCCAAAAGAAAATAAGGAATAACTGTGTTAAACCAGACAGTGACATTTCAGAAGGAAAAGGAACAATTCCCATACCTGTGCTGATGCACCCAACTCCTCCAGAGAAAGGGAAGCAGATCCAGTGTTAGAGAAGGGAATAATCCCTGAGCCCCCAAAGGAGCTGCTGTGCTCTGGCCTGTGTCAAACAACTCCTGACCCCCCAGGACTGTGCACACAAACCACTTCAGGCAGTGGCACCAGGTGAAAATCCCACTGCCAGTTGCTCTTTACCAACAACCAGCTGGAGGTTTCTGCTCCACAGCCAAAGAGGAGGGTCAAAGGAGCACCCACATCCCCCCTCAGGTAAAACAGGGATGGCAGGGCTGGAGGGGGAACACCCTCGTGACTTGTTTCTGAAAGAACAGGTGAGGAAATACATTATATTTCCCCCTAAAAATAGGAATGGAGTCAGTTATAGGACAGCACCGTCTCCAGCCAGTGAAGAGGGCCAAAGGAGCACCCACATCCCACCTCAGGGAAAACAGGGATGGGGAACACCCTTGTGACTTGTCTCTGAAAGAACAGGCAAGGAAATGTGTTATATTTCCCCAAAAAAGTTAAAATTGGGTCAGCTGTAGGACAGCACCATGAGAGGGGTCAAAGCAGCACCCACATCCCACCTCAGGTAAAGAGGGATGAGCTGAATGGGGAACACCCTCGTGGCTCTGACAGAACAGGCAAGGAAACATGTTGTATTTCCCCCAAAAATCAGGATGGGGTCAGTTCTAGGGCAGCCCCCTCTCCAGCAGGAACATTGGTCCAGAGGAGAGCAACGAGGCTGGGGAAGGGACTGGAGCACAAGTGCTGTGAGGAGAGGCTGAGGGAGCTGGGGCTGTTCAGCCTGGAGAAGAGGAGGCTCAGGGGAGACCTCCTCACTCTCTGCAACTCCCTGACAGGAGGGGGGAGCCGGGGGGGGTTGGTCTCTTTTCCCAGGCAACTCTCAGCAAGACAAGAGGACACAGTCTTAAGCTGTGCCAGGGGAGGTTTGGGTTGGATATCAGGAAGAATTTCTTTGCAGAGAGGGTGATCAGCCATTGGAATGGGCTGCCCAGGGAAGTGGTGGATTCTCCATCCCTGGAGGTTTTTAAGCAGAGACTGGATGTGGCATCAGTGCCATGGGCTGGGAACCACGGCGGGGTTGGATCAAGGGTTGGACTTGATGATCTTGGAGGTCCCTTCCAACCCAGCTGATTCTGTGATTCTCTGATTCTCTGATTCTATGATTGTGTGTCCAAACCATCCCACTCCCCGTGGCAGCACAGGGCGGCCGAGCCTCCCCGCCGGACGGGTTCTCCTGGGAATGACACCCCTTGGAAGAAAACACCCTCTGAGTCCTGCAGCTGGGCTCACCTTCCTGCACAGCCACGTCCATGGGGCTGGCAGTGGCACTCTGGAGCAGCTCCTGGTAGGACTGGGCTGACTGGTCGAAGAGCTGCACGAGCAGAGCACACGTCTTCTCGTACTCGCAGCGCCCGATGGTGGAGAGTTGGTCCAGCTGCTGCTGCACCAGCCCCGTGTCGTCCAGGGGATCCTCCAGCCCGTCCCTGAGTGGAGAGAGAGCAGGTTAGGAAGGGATTTATGGTGTGGGGATGCTGCCCAACCACAGCAGGGTGTTTGTGTTGGGCACAGGGTGTTTTCCAGGCATGCAGGAATTCCAGTTGTGCTTCCATCACGATGGGAAACGACTCAGAGCAACATCCGACCATCCCTGTGGCCACAAACCAGGAGAGCAGCAGGGGCTGAGGTGGGAAAACCAGCAGCACCTGGGCTGAGAAACCTCTTCTTTCACCCTTAATGTTTATCTGGGTCTTTTAACATTCATCCGGGTCTTTCAACACTCATCCAAATTTTTTAACATTCACCCAGGTTTTTTTAACATTCATCCAGGTTTTTTTTACATTCATCCACGTCTTTTAACATTCATCCAGATTTTTTAACATTTACCCAGGTTTTTTTAACATTCATCCAGGTTTTTCAACGTTCACCCAGGTTTTTTTAACATTCATTCATGGTTTTTAACATTCATCCAGATTTTTTAACATTCACCCAGGTTTTTTTAACATTCATCCAGGTTTTTCAACGTTCACCCAGTTTCTTTTAACATTCATTCATGGTTTTTAACATTTATCCAGTTTTGTTTAACATTCATCCAGGTTTTTTAACATTTATTCAGATTTTTTAACATTTACCCAGTTTTGTTGAACATTTATCCAGTTTTGCTGAACATTTATGCAGGTTTTTTAACATTACCCAGATTTTTTGCATTTATGCATGTTTTTTAACGTTTATGCAGGTTTTTTACCATTCACCCAGGTTTTATAATATCTATGCAGGTTTTTTAACATTTATGAATGTTTTTTTGCATTTATGCATGTTTTTTAACATTTATGCAGGTTTTTTACCATTCACCCAGGTTTTATAATATTTATGCAGGTTTTTTAACATTCACCCAGGTTCTTTAATATTCATCCAAGTTTTTTACCATTCATCCAAGTTTTTTAACATTTATGCATGTTTTTCTGCATTTATGCATTTTTTTAGCATTTATGCAGGTTTTTTAGCATTTATGCAGGTTTTTTAGCATTTATGCAGGTTTTTTAGCATTTATGCAGGTTTTTTAGCATTTATGCAGGTTTTTTAGCATTTATGTAGGTTTTTTAGCATTTATGCAGGTTTTTCACCATTCATCCAGGTTTTTTAACACTTATGCATGTTTTTCTGCATTTATGCAGGTTTTTTAGCATTTATGCAGTTTTTTTACCATTCACCCAGGTTTTCTAACAATTTTTAACATTCTCCTTCCACTAGGACCAAGTCCCATCCACCCCTGAACGCTTCCAGGGATGGGGCAGCCACAACCTCTAAAGATCCAAACCAAAAAAAAGGGATCAGCCCACCAGTTTTCCCTAAGAGAGGCATTATTTCCCTGTATTTGTTCTCATCCAACACAAACACACACACACGGTGGAAATTCATCCCACAGGAATTCAGGCACTACAATGGAACCCTGTAGGCTGCCCCTGCACTCAAAAGAATTAAAAAGAAAAGGTACTTTTAGGTCTAATTTGTGCCATCCTACGGCAGAGATGTACAATGAGGTGACTCACACCTCACATCCCTGCTCTGCTGGGAATTCGGGAATGCTGCAGATCCTGGGTGGGATAAATTCTACCCAGAGCATGTTGCAGATCAAATCAGCCATTTGAGACTAAGCAAGGTCTCAACAAACCCCCCACCAGCTTAAAAAAACCCTAAATCTCTTCTAAAAAGCAGTGATTTAGGTGAGCCTCCCTCAGAAATCCTTTGATGACTCACAAAACTTCCGTGTTTGTGGCTGTTTGTAAAGGAAAACTGGGAAGAGAAACACATCAGAGCCTGGTGTGACAGTCATGGAATCCAGGAATGCTTTGGGTGGGAAGGGACCTTAAAATCATCCAGTTCCACCCCCTGCCCTGGGCAGGGACACCTCCCACTAGCCCAGGGTGCTCCAACCTGGCCTTGGACACTTCCAGGGATGGGGCAGCCACAGCTTCTCTGGGAATTCCATTCCAGCCCCTCCCCACCCTCCCAGGGAGGAATTCCTTCCCAATATCCCATCTAACCCGACTCTCTCTCAGTTTTAAGCCATTCCCTGTTGTCCTGTCACTCTGTGCTCTTGCAAACAGCCTCGAAGGTGTTTCCCACCCCAAATTCCACAGTTCCCTGGCACTCAGGGCTCTGCACCCCTGAGCCTCCACCCTCACAGCCAACAATTCCTTCCTAATATTCCACCTAAATTCCTCTCTCTGCCCGTGGGAAGCCATTCCCCCTTTTCCTGGCACTCCAGGCCCTTGGGAATAGTCTCTCTCCATCTTTGCTGCAGGTCCTTCCTGAAAGGCCACGGTGAGGTCACCCCGGAGCTGAACAACCCCAATTCCCTTTGGGAAGCCTTTTTCTGCCAGGAGAGCAGCTCCAGCCCTGGGAGCCGAGCTGTGCCCTCACCTGAGGATGATGTGCACGGATTCCAGGCGGGATGTGATGTAGGCTTTGGTGACCTCGGGGGTGTAGGTCTCCAGCATGTGGGGCTCGGTGGCCTTCACGTAGGGCACGGACGCTGCCAGGCGCTGCCACAGGCTCAGCAGGTAGTGAACACTGTTGGGAGCAAACTCCCAGTGCTTCCAGAGGGAAAGGGAAGGGAAGGAAAAAAAGAAACAAACCCAGGGAGTTATGATCTGGATTATTTTAGCCAGATTATTTTCACGGGATCACGGAATTCCCGTCCCCCCTCCTCCGACTTGGGAGGGCCACGGGTGGTGTCAGAGGGGTCTCCTTGCACTGGCAGAGTTTCCAAGCTGGAAATGCCAGTGGGAACAAGGAATTTGAGGAGGATCAGGTCTGCTGAGCCAGGGGCAGCATCTCTTGGTGTTGAGGGGGATACAGAGATCACAGAATCCTGGAGTGGTTCGGTTTGGAAGGGACCTCAGAGCTCAGCTCCTTCCACTCCCCATGGGCAATGAACCTTCCACTGGACACAGCAGCATCTAAAAGCTTTAAGGGCCTGGTTGCCAAATTAACCAGGAATTTCAGTGCACACCTGGATTCAGTGGCACCAGCAGCACTCAGGGAGATAATCCCGAGTTCCCAGGATGTGGAGCTGAGCCTCCAGTCCCCAACCACGGCCGAGCTCGTGCTGCACAGCTCCTCACACCCCCTGTGCAGCCTCAAGCTGCTTTCAGACATTAAAATTTAACAAACAAAGGCATTATCTGAGCTGTACAATGTTCTGAACCCTGCCCTGTGCAGGGGGGTGGTTACAAGCTCGATACACCAGTGGAAAACTCAGTGGGAATATGGTTTGATATCCCTATTACTGGCAATCCCTGCGACGTGAAGTGAGACACAATTCTAAAAATAAGCCTTATTTAACAGGTTGGGGTTTTTTTTTTTCTCTTCTCTGCTAGGATTTGGAAAGCCTCTGGAGGCATGGCAACTCTGCCTTCCCCCACAGGCTGCTCAGGCTCCATTCAGCAGGAATTCACAGGATAATCATGGCTACACCGCGGGATTCTCTGAGAGGGGTTTGGGGCAAAAATAACCTAAATTAAGGGGCAGGGAACAGAGCAGGGGGGTGTGATTTTGTTTCAAGAGGAGGAGAGCCACGTGTACCTGCAGGCTGGTCACTGTGAAGTTGGCAATGAGCCGGATGACCTCGGGGTAGTTCTCCACCTTCACCAGCTCGCCCAGCTGGTAATTGCTTTTCAACCGCGCCAGCAATCGGCAGAACTCGTGGTAGTTATTGGGGTCTGACAAGCTCTGAGGGGAGAAAAAGGGGAGAGGAACTGAGGAACAGCCCAGCAGTGACTGCAAGGGGCTCAGATTGTCACAGAAGCACATGGGTTGGAAGGGACCTCCACGATCACCGAGCCCAACCTTTGACAGAATCCCCCCCTGCCCAATAAAGCGGCTCAGGAAGTGCCACCTCCACTTGTTTTATGAACACTTCCAGGGATGGTGACTCCACCACTGCCCTGGGCAGCCTGTTCCAATGCCAAAGTACTCTTCCAGTGAAGGAATTTTCCTAATATCCAACCTGAACCTTCCTTGGCTGAGAAAAGGAAGAGAGCAGCAAGACATTGCCCCCTTCTCCCCTTTGCCAAGTTCTTCTTCCTCCTACGTGATCAAGTGGGACATGGACACTGGAGGCATTTTTGGTGGAGAAACACGATGAGGAGGAAGCAGAGCCCCAGTTCCACCTGGAACACCCACCTGGGGGTTTTCCAGTATCCGTTTGACTCCATCAACGAGATGAGACAAGAACTTTGCCCGCTCGGCGTTGTTGAAGAGGGATCTGCGAACGGAGGCGATCTGCACCAAGCAGGACAAAACCTGCAGGGGGATAAACAGGAAAATAGGGATTAGGAATATCAAAGGAGCAGCAGGTTTGCTCCTCGTGACAGGTGTGTGACACTCCTCTGTGTGTGACACAACAGCTCCACGTTCGTGATTTTGTGTACAAAGGAATTAGAGCAGAGGGAGTCACCCAGAGGAACAGCTCCATCCCAGCATCACAGAATCAGGGAATCACTGAGGTTGGAAAAGCCCTCCAAGGTCACTGAGGCCAACCTGTGACTGATCTCCACCAGCCCAACCAGCCCAGAGCACTGAGTGCCACGGCCAGTCCTTCCTTGGACACCTCCAGGGGTGGGGATTCCATCACCTCCCTGGGCAGTTCCAGTGCCTGACCACCCTTTCCAGGAAGAAATTCCTCCTGATGTCCAACCTGAGCCTTCCCTGGCACAGCTTGAGGCTGTTTCCTCTCCTCCTGTCCCTTGTTCCCTGGGAGCTCCCCCCTCCTGTCAGGGAGTTGCAGAGCCAGAAGGTCCCCTGAGGCTCCTTTGCTCCAAACTCTGCTCCCAAAATTGCTGGAATTCCTTCAGATGAAGATTAAAAATACACTGGGACTGGCTGGGAAAGCTGAGAAACATAACACAGACTAGGGAAAGTATTCCAGAGGATAAAAGAGTGGCAAGAAACAGAATTAAACTGTTCTCAACCCAAACTTCGGAAATTTAAATCCAGAGGAAATTCCAGGGTGCAGCTGCAGCAGGAAGAGGCTGGTGAAGAGGACTCTGAAGAGCAGGGCCAGTTAGTTGTGAGCAGCACCTGCAATCCCAATCCAGAGGCAAATCCCCATCCCTTGGAGCAGTGCAAGGCCTCCCTGCCCATCCCTGCTGGCTCTGGCAGTCCCTGATCACAGGGGCAGGACAATTAAATTGCTCCAGATTTCTACTCATTAACAACAACCAAAAAAAAAAAAAACCCAGAGTCTCACACTTCAAACCTCTCATGAATATTTGAGGCTCCAAATTCAGAATTGGCCAATAACCCTCCACCACAAGGAGCAGTGGTGTCTCCATGGAAAAAAAATCCTTCCCTCTGTAGCCAAAGGGTTCGTTTTCCTTGCAGCTTTAATTATGGGAAATATTTATCAGGCAGACAAATGCCTGGCAGGCAATCTTTTCTTTTTTTTTTTCTTTTCCCAAGAAATAATCTAACTTTTAGCTCAGTTGTGCTATTGGCCCTTTCATCCAAGTGGGACATGGCCTAGTTTTAAAGTGGGGAAGGAGAAATTCCATCCCTCGGGGTGTTCCCAGACTTCCTACCTACTACTCCTAGTGTGCTTTTAGGATCCAGCAGAGAGGAAATAACATCAGCTGATTCCCTCTAAAACAGGGCTGAGCAGGCAGAGGACAAAACAGGTTGGAATTCCAGCAAAAAAACTGCTCTGAGGGCAAATCCAAACCCTGCAGATGCTCCCAAAAAACCATCAACGGCAGCACTTGGACACTTCAGAGCCATCAGGGTGGTGTGAAGTCAAGCTGAACCACCAGTGAATCCCCCACAAGAATCCCACAAACCCTTCCTGGGAGGGAAAGGAACACTGGACTTACCAGAGGAGAGAACGAAGGAGGGATGGAATGATAAAGATCAAAAAACAACTGAAGGGTCGAAGAATCCAAGAATGCTGCAAGAGAAAAGAGCATTTTATCTCCATTTACTGCTTTCCACAGGCCTGGTGCTTATTTTATCCCCAAAGCCAAGTGCATCTGTCACACAAAGCACCCCCAACCCAAGAAAATTGCCGAAGGATTTTGTATTTTCAGGCAAAAAGCCTTTTCCTAGAAATAAAGGAACCCACTGGCACTTGGAACCGAGGGAGAATGACAGGGAAGTATTTTAAGAACACAATCTGTGCAAGTGCCTGGTGAGAACAGCAAGGATGTGGAGAACAGGTGCCAAATCAGGTTATTTATATATTTAAAAAAAAAAACCAAACAAAACACCCAACCAGTTTGCTGCTCTTTGAACTGGGAGGTGCAAGACTGGAAGGGCAGAGGAGTCCCCCTGACTGGATTGTGTGGTTCCCCCCCTTAAGGAAAAGCTGGATTTAACCTCTGGAATTCCAGGCACACGGTTTTTACGGAGCTCAGAGAAGGGCTGAGCAGGTCCTGCAGCCCAATTACCTGATCTCCAACTGGTTGGGATCTGCACAGTGCAAAGATCATCCGAGGACTCGTCCGTGGAGGTGCCGATGAAATCGAAGTTCAGGCAGTTGTGGGTGAGCTTGAGGAGCTGCATGAGCAGCCCGTGCTGGCTTTCATCGTTCAGGTTCAGGTTCTTCCCAGAAGCCTGGAAAATACATGGGATTAAGGCAGGAAAAGGAAGGAAAATAGAAAATAAAATCCAGGTGACAGCCAAGGATTGAGGTCAGAGCAGGAGGTGGCACCACGAGGGTGGTGTGGCACAGGCACCAGGCGTGTTCCCACAGGAGGGGTTGGCATGGGCACATTCCAGGCTTTCCAGGAGATGGAGAAACAGGCAGCACTTCCCTTCCCACTCCTTTGGAAGTGCACAGGGAGCAGCTGCCAGGTTTGATATCCGGGAGATAAGGAAGTTCTTACTCAGGTTAAACATTTTCTGCCTGCCGAGCACCTCACGGGAGGATTATGGATTTATAGGTCATCTATTTTAATATACAGAGGCACAATATATATTTTATATAGAGATAGACAACATATATTTTTATATAGATACATCATAGATATTTTATATCTAGATATACAATATATATTTTATATAGATATACAATATTTTATATCTAGATACACAATATATATTTTATATAGACAATATATATTTTTATATAGATATACAATATTTTATATCTAGATATACAATATATATTTTATATCTAGATACACGATATTTTATATCTAGATACACAATATATATTTTTATATAGATATACAATATTTTATATCTAGATACACAATATATATTTTATATAGATACACAATATATATTTATGTCTAGATATACAATATATATTTTATATCTAGATACATAATATATATTTTATAGATATACAATATATTTATATATAACAAAAATATACTTATAATATATTCTATTATATTTATTAATAATTTTATGTATTAATAATTTTATTTTATATTTACTAATAATTTTATTGATTGATTGATAAATAAATTTATCCATTTATTTAGACATAACATTTCCTTAATAAGCCCAAGTTTTCCTGGAAAAACAAGTCCAGAACCCAGTGTTTGGGACAAGAAAGCTCCTTCCAGGAGGGAATTTCAGCCCCAAAACGTGTCTCCCCTCCACTCAGCCCCCAATAAAAATTCCAAGCCCCTCCTTACCTGTTTCAGTAAACTGCAGGACAGGTTGAAAATATCAAATAAAGAGGAATCCCGGAAGGAAGAGGCAATTTTCCTGTGCTTGGTCAGTGGGTGGGTTGTATCCGCCTGGGCAGAGGGAAAACCAGCTTAGAACTCATGGAATGGGACCAGTAGAACCAGTAGGATCCCTGGGGAGCACTGGGAGGGCAAGGATTCCCTCCCTGGAGCTGCCTAAAGCAGGGGGATGCACCAGGATGGGATAATTCCATGGATAAATCCCTATTCCTGGCTGGGTAGTGGGATGGAGCCTTTCTGCAGCCCATCAATAAATCTCTTTTCTGTTATATTTTTCATATATTTTTTAAAATATTTCTAATTTTTACAATATTTTTTGTCATTTTTAAAATATATTTTTAATTTTTTTTTTTTTTTTGGTTTTGTGGGTTTTTTTTCTTTTTTTTTTCCTGAACCCCTCTTAAATTTAAATTTCCTCACCCAGTATTGAGTGAACCAGGACCAACCTCAGCTTTCCACACTGACCTTCCCAAAAAACCTCATGGAAGCATCAAACACTCCTGTCCTTATATTTTGGGGGAAAAGCCCTGGAACACCCCAGCAGTTGGTGGCAGAGCAAAACTGGACCTAAACTTGTCAGGTGTTCTAAGACTGAATTATTCCTCAGCTCTAAAATTAAAATTTCAGGGTTTTTAAGAAAATCTCAAATTATTTCTGGACCAGTGAAAATGAGCATTTTTCTTTTCCTTCACCACGAGGTCACAGGGCTTAAATCAGGGAATTTGGTTTAAATTACTGAACTGGGTTTAAATCAGGGAATTTAATTTAAATCAGTGAATTTGGTTTAAATCAGGGAATTTGGTTTAAATCACTGAACTGGGCTTAAATCAGGGAATTTGGTTTAAATTACTGAACTGGGCTTAAATCAGGGAATTTAATTTAAATCAGGGAATTTGGTTTAAATTAGTGAATTTGGCTTAAATCAGTGAACTGGGCTTAAATCAGGGAATTTAATTTAAATCAGGAAATTTGGCTTAAATTAGTGAATTTGGCTTAAATCAGGAAATTTGGCTTAAATTAGTGAATTTGGTTTAAATCAGGGAATTGGGCTTAAATCAGAGGATTTGGCTCAAATTAGTGAATGTGCCAAAATCAGGGAAATGGGCTTAAATTGGTGAACTTGGTTTAAATCAAGGAATTTATCTTAAATTAGTGAACTGGGCTTAAACCAGAGAATTTGGCTTAAATCAATTTAAATTAAATTTAAACTTTGTCTTAAATTAGTGACTTGGTTTAAATCAGTGAGCTGGGCTTAACTCAGTGCACTCCAGTCCCTCAGCACCTCCAGGCAAGTCTATATACTATATAACACTATATAATAATATAGCATATAATACTATATAATAATATATTCTATAATACTGTATAATAATATATTATATATAAAATATACTATATTACTGTACATTATCTATTATACTATTATACTGTATAATAACATATTATAATATTATCTATAATGTTATATTTTATATATATATATTTATATATCATAATACACTACTATACAATATTATAACATATATATTTAAAAACCAAACTTCTTTTCATCCTTGCTGATGGACACATCCTAATTTATAGGGATTTATATACATATATATATTTAAAAACCAGACTTCTTTCCATCCTTGCTGTAAGGAAGTGAAGGAACAGCCCCTCTGTGGAGACGAAATTTGGGTTTTACAAAGCCTGGGCCAAGGAAATGGCAACAGTAAAAAGGCTGGATCAAGATTTAGGAGGAGATCTGAGGGTCAGGATTTGCTCCTTGAGGAATTAAAGTGATTTGGGGCTCTGAAATGGATGCAGAAAATGTTCAAATTGGATTTAAAGCATTTAAATCTGAGGCTGGGGAAGCTCAGAGGGGCTGAACTCCAGCGAGTCCAGCAGAAGGAAATGGGGAAGGACAAAACCTCCTCCTCTGTTCCCAGTTCTGAGAACAATTTAATCCCCCTCCAAATCCCACTCAGGGATTCCTCCAATGCCTGGATTAATATCCCAGGAAAATCAAAGGTTAGTTACTCAGCAAGGCATTAAAATCCAAACCCTTGGTTACACCTGATTTTCTTGGGAAAATCAGAGATTTTATGGACATTGTGACCCTCCTGCCTCGGGACCTTCGGGGGAGCTGACTTTGCTGCTGGAAAAAGGATGGAATCCGGGATAGCAGCAGGTAAAGCCACTCATTCCCACTTCCAACATCCAATTCCAAGAGGCAGCACAACCTCGGAGGGCTCCCAAAACCAAGGAGGAAGCATCTGGAAGGGACTCGGCCCCAGGAAACCAGTGGGAGCTGAGAATTCCCTGCTGGGAACTCCAGGAAATTCAGTCCTGG